GATCACTTCTATATATCTTTTTAAAATTTTAAATTTTTTTGTTTCAAACCAGGTCAGATACCTAAAAATTGTACTTAAGCTTTGTACTTTTACTTTTGTACCTCATTACCTTCCAATTCTGACCAGGACTTTTCGTCTTCGGGACGCAGCAACCCTCCTCTTGGTAAAATTTAAACGCTTTTCCTATTATTTTTTTGTATCAAAGCAGGAAAAAGGAACAAAAAGTCATTATTTGCCTGGTTTGCCAGTGTTATAATTTCACAGATGTCGGTCGTTCAGTGGGAGAGTGAAGATCCATTATTGCGCAGTGCCCCAAATAATTAAATAAACAAATCAAATCAGTTAAACTATCCATGAGTCCAAAATAAAAAATTAAAAATGAGAAACGATGCCAAAGAGATTAACACTTTAAAACAAATGTGTAGAGCTTTTGAATGACAGAAATATAACAAGGGACGGGAGAAAAGGAAGTAACAATTAAAAAAAAAAAAAAGATGTTTAAGGTTTAACTAAAAATTGTGCATTTATTAAATTACAGTGTAGGAAACGGGGGGGAAAAAAGCACAGAAATTTGGGGAGAAAATAAAAAGAATTTAAACAAAATAATCTACTACTACTTTCACATTTTGGGCTATATTCCCCTTTTTTTTTTTTTTTTCTTTTTTTTTTCAGTAATTCCACTCATTGCCAGAAACTAAACCAGGTCTAAACCAGAATTAAAACAAGGACTAAACAAGGTCTAAACTAGATATAAACCAGGTCTAAACCAGATAAAACAGGACTAAAACCAGGTCTAAACCAGGACTAAACAAAAGATCTAAACTAGATATAAACCAGGTCTAAACCAGACCGAAACTAGGACTAAACCAGGACTAAAACCAGGTCTAAACTAGATCTAAACTAGATCTAAACCAGGCCTAAACCAGGATTAAAACAGGACTAAACTAGGACTAAAACCAGGTCTGAACTAGAGCTAAAATAGATCTAAACCAGATCTAAACCAGGTCTAAACCAGGTCTAAAACCAGGACTAAACCAAGACTAAAACCAGGTCTAAACTAGATCTAAACCAGGTCTAAACCAGGTCTAAAACCAGGTCTAAACTAAGACTAACACCAGGCCTAAACTAGATCTAAACCAAGACTAAACCAAGACTAAACCAGGACTAAAACAGGATTGCACGGACCGTGTCTCCTCGTCTTCCATCAATAATATTTTTAATTTGGTTCAGTAAAGTCTGGACTTTTTATTTTCTTTTATCAGACAAAACTTCTTATGTTACAATTTCCTCGTCTTTGTTTCTCTACAGCAAATCAAGTAATCCAAAGTATTCAGATTACATTACTCACTTTAAGTAATTTAATGGATTACGTTACAAACTACATTTTGGTGTGTGTAATCTGTAATCTGTAATCTGTAGGGGAATGTTACGGGCCCCGGTCCTTTGACATTTGTTCGTGTGCTCCCGTTCTTCTGTATTTGCTTTTGTGTGTGTGATGCTCTGGGTCCGCGAGCCCTGGACCCGGGTGCGCGGGAGAAACCGACGCGGGACGGAGGCTGGGGTCGCGGCGCATCGACGATCGGCCCTTCATCCCTGCGCTCCCACCAATCCACCTGACACCTGTGGTAGCGCGGGTTGAACAGGGACCGTCTTCCGTCTGCTGGAGGCGGCTGGGTCACTGCGGCCAGCTCGCCACTTTAGTTTGATATTTTGGGTTGTCTCATTTTGTTGAATTGCCGGCTGTTGCCTCGTTTAGTTCTTCGAGACGCCTTTTTGTTCTGTCAGCTTCTCCTGGAGGCAGCCTAAACAGAGGATCTTAAGAAAGAGACTTGGAGAGTTAGAACAGTTCTCAGACATGTCTCTTTATTTGAGTCAGGCAGGTTCAGGTCTCAAGATTCAAGTTGATTCAGCATGATTTTGCCTACGCGGCGTCTCTCTGTGCGTCGGTCGTCCCTCGACAACGCGGTCGACGTTCCCCCACTGATGCACAGAAAAACTGGATGCCTTTTATACCAGCAGAACTGTTGAGTTCACATCTTCATGGAAACACACACAGCACTTTGTCCCAACACGTGTCCCATAACAGACTGGCAGATGCTAAAGGTTGGAGATACACCCCTTATCTGTCCCATATAAATTCACCGTCCATATCATATCCCAACCCCATTGACACTCCAAAGTCCAAAAACATACACAGCATGTCAAGGAACACAGAGATTAATTACAGGACGTATTAACATATGAATGAAACTTTAAAAACACAGGGTAGAAGCCCACAGTTCGCAGAAAAACTTGAGTTAGATTTGTTACATTGTACTTAGTTAGGGCTTTTTAGTTTATTAGATTATTTTGTTTAATTCCTATTTATTTTCACCTCAATTGCCTGTTGTTTTTTTTTGTTCTTCCCTTACACTGTCAATAATAAATGCACAATTGTACATTGTACACAACCGTAAATCACCAGATTCTTTTATCTAAATTATCCTATTTTAGTTTGTCTAAAGAGGCGCTGTGCTGGTTTGAATCTTATTTGTCCCACAGACAACAATGTGTTTCCCTCTCTGGTTTTAAATCGTCCTACCTTCACTGTCCAACAGGGGTCCCCCAAGGTAGCATTTTAGGACCTATTTTATTTAGTTTATACATCAATGATCTTCCTAAAATGTGTCCAGATGTCAGTGTCCATCTGTGTGCTGACGATGCTGTGATTTTTACACAGGCCAAAACTGTACAAGAAGCTTCAGAAAAACTAACAGCCATGACTCCAAAAGTGGGTCAAGAATTCATGCTTGCAACTCAACATAAAGAAAACTGTCTGCATGATGTTCAGCAAAAAAACAATTGATCTACAGCGTCCAATGTCTTTCTGGACGGCGTGGAACTCAGCCTCGTCAAAGAGTTTAAATACCTGCGACTGACGTTGGACCCGACATTGACATTTAAGAAACACATCAAGGGCCAATCAAAAACTGTTCATTTTAACTTAGTGAATTTTAGACAAGCAAGACCTTTTATGACTTTATATGCGGCACGAATGTTTTTACACTCCATGATTCTGTCCCATATAGACGACTGCAGAACCACACGGTCACTCGCTGCTGCACAAAACTCAAACCCATCGAATCACTTTTTTTAAAAGACATAAAAATATTGGACAAGAAACCATTCTCACTTCACCACTGCACTATTTTAGACAAGTATAATTTGCTTAATTTTAATAATTTTATTGGTTTTAAATATGGATGTTTTGTCTATAAAGTTTTGCATGGACTTGCCCCTCCTCCATTACAGGATTTTATTAAAGTAAAGACTGTGAGTGGAACTAGGGCCACAGCTCAGGGGAACTGTGACGTCCCACACAGACGCACAACACTCGGTCAAACTGTGTCTCAGTCAGAGGAACAACATTTTGAAACAGTCTGCCACTATCAATAAGAGAAACTTCAACTCTTGCCACCTTCAAGTCCTGCTTAAAAGAGCGGCTAAAGAAAAACCAGACCTGTGGACACTTTTAGTATAGATTTGTTACTTGTTTTTGCTTTGTTTAAATTTGTGGTGTTTCCTGCCGAGGGACGACAGATGGAAATGAGCAGAATCCGTGTATCATTCGTTCATTCGTTTTTCAATATAAAACCAAAAATAAGAAAACGAAAAAACAACAGTTTTCTTCGTTATTTGTCTCCAAAACCAAAATGAAAAAACGGATAATGATTCGTTTTTTTCAGTTTTTCGATTTTGTGTTTAAATGAAGAATGGAAAAAATGGATAACAGCCGTTTCCCGTTTACGTGACTTCAGTGACTGCGATGCCGAACTTTTGCACCGCGTACGGACTGAACCAGGACTGATCCAGGTCCGAGACCAGAGCGGGATCAGAGCGAGACTGAGACCGAGACCAGCGGTCCGAGCGGTTCCGTGTCATCGTCTCCGCGCTGGTTCCGTGCGGGGAAAGTGAGAATGTTCTGTGGACTACAGGTCCGGACGGGCTGCTCCAGAACCGCGGCTGGTTCCGAGGTGGAGCAAAGCATCCAACTGACGCTTTCACACCAACGAAAACGAACCGAACTAAGAGCTTTTGGTTCAAATGGACCAGGTCCGGGATCAGACCGGGACCAGAGCGCTACTGAGACTGGGACCAGACCGGGACCAGAGCGGGCCTGAGACCGAGACAAGACCAGGACCAGACCGACCAGACAGAGACGACCAGACCGACCAGATCGGAGGCTCAGAGCCCACAGCAGGGCCGGAGCTCGAAGCTGAGGCTTGGACCCCGCGGAGGCTCAGAGTCAAAGCTTGGAGTCCGCCCCAGTCCTGCTCTGGTCCTGGTCTGGTCTCGGTCTGGTCTCGGACCTGGATCAGTCCTAGTTCAGTCCGTACCCGGTGCAAAAGTTCGGCATCGCAGTCACTGACGTCACGTAAACGGGAAACGGCCGTTATCCGTTTTTTCCATTCTTCATTTAAACACAAAATCGAAAACTGAAAAAACGAATCATTATCTGTTTTTTCATTTTGGTTTTGGAGACAAATAACAAAGAAAACTGTTGTTTTTTCGTTTTCTTATTTTTGGTTTTATATTGAAAAACGAATGAACGAATGATACACGGATTGAGCAGTCCTGCTATAATCTGGCATATTTACACTGCAGTGTTGTAGATGTTCATTAATATGCACTGTCCCTATTCAATAAATAAATAAATAAAATAAACAATTTTTAGTTAAACCTTCTGTTCAGTTAACATCCTGGTTTTATTGTTACTTCCCTTTCTCCCCGAGCAAAGGGGACGTAACAGGGAATACATTTTAAAAGTAACTTTCCCAACACTGCCGGCCGATCCCCGGGTCCAGGGCTCGTGGACCGATCGCCTCCAACACACAAAAGCAAACGGAGCCTGTAACAAACGAGAAGCTGCAGTATCAGGGCTCTGTGGTCAACAAAGTATTTCCCAGTAGTGACTTAATCCTGTCTGTGCTGTTTGTCGTCGTGGTCCTGCGCTGATGCAGGTGCAGCAGTGGCCTCTGGGAGATCGGGGTTTGCTGTTCGACCGCGGCTGGATGGTGGTGAACGTGAACGGAGTGTGTCTGAGCCAGAAGAGAGAACCTCGACTCTGCCTCATCAAACCAGAGATCCAACTGTCCAGAAACCAGCTGCAGCTCAACGCCACAGGTCTGAGTGAGGGACTCTTTAACATGACGTTTTAGACGAGTTACGACGATTATTTGGGCAGTTATTTATTCCATGAGAAAAAATGAAATAACTTACAATTTAAATGTCAAACTGGAGCAATTGGCAACGGTGAAAACAACCTGCATAGGTTCAGGACTGAACCTGGACTAAAACAGGATTAAACCAGGATTAAAACAGGACTAAACCAGGACTAAACCAGGACTAAAACAGGACTAAACCAGGACTAAAACAGGACTAAACCAGGACTAAACCAGGACTAAAACAGGACTGAACCAGGATGAAAACAGGACTAAACCAGGACTAAAAACAGGACTGAACCAGGACTAAACCAGGACTAAAACAGGACTAAAACAGGACTAAACCAGGACTAAAACAGGACTAAACAGGACTGAACCAGGACTAAAAACAGGACTAAACCAGGACTAAAAACAGGACTGAACCAGGACTAAAACAGGACTAAACCAGGACTGAACCAGGACTAAAAACAGGACTAAACCAGGACTAAAACAGGACTGAACCAGGACTGAACCAGGACTAAAACAGGACTGAAATAGGACTGAAACAGGACTAAACCAGGACTAAACCAGGACTAAAACAGGACTGAACCAGGACTGAACCAGGACTACACCAGGACTAAAACAGGACTAAACCAGGACTAAAACAGGACTGAACCAGGACTGAAACAGGACTAAACCAGGACTAAAACAGGACTAAACAGGACTAAAACAGGACTGAACCAGGACTGAACCAGGACTACACCAGGACTAAAACAGGACTGAACCAGGACTGAAACAGAACTAGACCAGGACTAAAACAGGACTAAAACAGGACTAAAAAACAGGACTAAACCAGGATTAAACCAGGACTAAACCAGGATGAAACCAGGACTAAAACAGGACTAAACCAGGACTAAAACAGGACTGAAACAGGATTGAACCAGGACTAAAACAGGACTAAAACAGGACTAAACCAGGACTGAGTGCCGGGTGAACGCAGGTGAAAGGACCGGGGCAGAAGTGGAGTTGTCGCCTGATCACACACGGGCTCGGGGTTCTCTCTCGCTCTCAAGTCCAAGATTAGTCCTGGTTTAGTTCCGGTTTAGACCTGGTGTAATCCAAAACTTTTTTCCAAGTTGGTGGAGTTTTTTCCAGATTTTTCATTGAAGCTGCACAGTCTTGGGTGAAACGCGGATTGACTTTTCTTTGGGAAGTAACGGCTCAACCTGAAAACACAAATAAACAAAAATAAAACATTAAATAGAAAATCTTGATCTGTTTCTGTACATTCTGTGAAAATTTGAGATTATTTCAACAAGAACTGACAAAATTACTGGCCTGTGAAATTGTGAAACATTTTTCCTATATATTTTTTTTTCCATTTTTATCCAGTAGGAATGTAATAATAATCGAAATATCGTATCGTCAAAAGTCTCAAACTCAAGTCTCTTTGCTTAAATTCATTGTTTTGGTGCAGCAACAGCTAAAAAACTACATAGACCATGATCCTTTGCTCTGTTTCAGTCCAATCCACATGTTGAAATATGAATTATGAAGCACTTTTAAATCTTAATTATTTGGATTGTGATGAGAAAAAAGTAGCATAATCACAATTTAGTTTTTGTTTTGTTTTGGGTTTTTTTGCCTCCACAAAATATCGTATCGTGAGTATATCGTATCGAGAAGGCTGGATATCGTTACAGCTCTATTATCCAGTATTTTGTCTCTTTTAATATCGTGTGTTTTGATGTTAAATCCTGTTTTGTCTCAGGTTTGTTGTGTGTTTGACCCACAGGGATGGAGAGTATTTCTGTTCCACTGGAAACTGAAGTTCAGAGTGAAGTGTGTCAGAGCAAAGTGTGTGGAGACAGGTGAGACTCATTTAATAAACATTATTTTACTCACACAGGCTGATCTCTTGAGACATTTACATACACAACAGTATCATTAAACAGTACAATTAAATCTACAATACAATATATAAAAAAATAATAGTACAGTTTAATCTTTCAGTGGAAGCAAGAGCAGGTCTGTATCTGTGTGTCGTTTGTTCTTTTGTTTTTAAAAAAAACACAAAAAAAAAAAAAAACTATTTTCTTTATTATTTGTCTCAAAAAACCAAAATTTAAAAAATGGATAATGATTCATTTTTTCAGCTTTCAGGTTTTTGTGCCGCATGTGGACTGAACCAGGACTAAAACAGGACTAAACCAGGACTAAAACAGGACTAAACTAGGACTTAAAAACAGAACTAAACCAGGACTAAACCAGAACTGAACCAGGACTAAACCAGGACTGAACCAGGACTAAAACAGGACTAAAACAGGATTTAACCAGGACTAAACCAGGACTAAACTAGGACTTAAACAGAACTAAACCAGGACTAAACCGGGACTAAACCAGAACTGAACCAGGTCTAAACCAGGACTGAACCAGGACTAAACCAGGACTAAACAGGACTAAAAACAGGACTAAACCGGGACTAAAACAGGACTAAACCGGGACTGAACCAGGACTGAACCAGGACTAAACCAGGACTGAACCCGGACTCAACCAGGACTAAACCAGAACTAAACTTGGACTCAACTAGGACTAAACCATGACTAAAGCAGGACTAAAACAGAACTAAACCATGACTAAAGCAGGACTAAAACAGAAATAAACCAGGACTAAAACAGGACTAAACCAGAACATACATTTATATAATTTATGTCTTATTAATACAAATCTCTTCCTACTTATTTAGAAGTTTGTTTCAATTTTTTAAATATTTTTCACTCTGTTATTGTAATTTATTGTGATTTGTGAGGTTCTGTGTCCAAAGTCTAAGTCTAGTGGCAAACATTCTTTTGTGCCACTAGCTGTTAAACTGCTGAACTCAGAGAATGCAGTTAAAAAATAATTATAAAAGGCTTAGGGATTGTGCAATCAAAACTGCACATAGGCTTAGGGAATGTGCAATAATTAAAACTGCACATAGGCTTAGGGAATGTGCAATAATTAATAAAGTATGAATGTAAAGGTCCTGCCTGTTAAGGATAATTTAAGGGTCCTGTTGGTGCATCACTCGTGGTCATACTTGGCCTCATATTTACTTTGTTTTACAGTGTTTGTTTATGTGCTGCTTTGTGTTGTGTCGTCCTGTTTTTTGATAAAACATGTGACCCCCTGTCCCAAGACAAATTTCTCCCATGGGAGACAATAAAGGATTATCTTATCTTATCTTATCTAGAAACTAACAGAGCAAAAGTTTTACACGTTTTCATTTATTTTCTTCCTTATTTCCATGACTACTGGCACTGAACATTCACACTGAAGATTAGATTTAAAAAAATATATATATGTAAAAGTCGCCCTTTGTGTTGAACCCTGGTTTGCTCGTTTGGCATTGACCCTGACACGGCACAGCTGTGAAATGAAAACCGCTTCAGTTCAGACGTGTGAAATACACCACAGTACGGCAAAGTCACTGTTGTGGAGGGAAATACTGCTGCAAGAAGAATCTGACACGCTTCTTCATTACACCTAAGAGTGAGAACAGTCAGACGTCCACCCCACAGGACACTGCTTTTTGTATGTTTTGAAATGGTTTCTTAAAATAAAAAAAAAAACAAAGACTTCATCACGAAGGCCATGATGAGAGAGAAGACCAAGGGTTTACAGTAGAGCCCGACCGATATGGATTTTGTGGTGGCCGATATCATACCGATATAATGGGAGTTGGAGCTGCCGATATAATCACCGATATATTTAGTGATGTAAAAATTCACTGTAAATCTTGAATTATTTAAAAAAAAACTTAGGTTTGGCTCTAGTGGATTTTAAACTGGGTTTATTTAGGAAACATTTATTGTTATTCTGCCTCTTTACATCATATGTCATAGGACTAAACCAGGACTAAAACAAGACTGAACCAGAACTGAACCAGGACTGAGTGTCTGGACTCGGTCTCTATCTCTCTCCGTCTCTCGACCCCAAGATTAATACTGGTTTATTTATTTTATGCTGAATATATTTATATGCATATATTTTTGAAAGTTTCGTTTTTTGCCGCTGCCGCTGTCAAACTCCCAAGAGTCTGAACGCGACGTGAAGAGAAAAAAAGTGAGAGAAAGAGAAAACACGACTCCTAATAAGGATCAGGCTCCCGTCGTTCGCTTCAAAGAGTCGGATCTAAGAGCCGCTTCGTTACCGACCGAGCCATCACTACTATAGAGTAAATAAACAATCACTATTAGCCTTTGGCCGTAAACGCTGTGCGCCGCGGTAATTAATTATATGCGCAAATTTCATCATTCACACGTCTGTTCACAGCTCATTTACAGATCAATGCAGGTCCAGTAACAAATATACGACCAATATAATCACTTTACAATAGACCAATAGAAAACAGACTGTTTATGTGTTGGAGCTACAGCAGATCATCACTAACCAATCAGAACGAACCAAAACTAGCTTCAAAGTCGACGTATTTCCAACACTCAGCCTCACACAGGCTCCTCCCACATCACACAGGCTCCTCCCACATCACAAGTCTGAACTAATAAATGTCCTTTTAATCCAGACTCAAAACGATTGTCCTTAAAAAGAAAATAATCTCAGTGTTGCACGTGGATCTGTGTCTGTGGATGTAAACAAACACACGTGACTCTGTGGTGTGTTCAGGGACAGTACGACACACACAGACAAATGACTCCGTAGATAAATACTGATGCAGAGACACATATTAGGACATTTATCTGTAAATTGAATTAAATGAACAGAATGTAGAGAGTCTAAGCTTTATAACGACGTATAACATGCCCACGTGAAATATCGGCCGATAACGTCGGCCAACCGATATATCGGCCGGGCTCTAGTTTACAGCGCTGTCGACAAAGCAAATGGTGACAACATTTTAATTAAAATAACAAAAAACTGTATTTTGTTGAGTGTTTTAAGAGTTTTTCTTTACGACACAATTCTATTTATCTTGCTTCATAAATTTGATTCAGACATTTAACGAGGTGTGTCCAAACTTTAGATTTAGTGTAGGTTTATTTGAGCAGGAATTGATATGAAGAGAAAATCGCATTAAAAAGACAAAATCTGACCTTTCCAGAAGAGTTTTAGAAAGATTTTTACGGGAGCTTGATCAAAACGACTCCCCGCGGCGTCGTAAAGAAAGTACCATCGTTTTAAACTCACCTTTGTTTTAGACTTGACTCCGGTGAATGAACCTGCTCCAACTTCCTCCTCTTCACATATGACTGACTATTTACCGTTTCTATGACAGCTGCAGACACACACTCCCTCTCTCCCTCAGCGCTGATATTGCTCTGGTTGGACATGTGCCTGGTCCGGCCTCAGACTCGGTGTCCGCGGCAGATTTCCCCGGGCTCTTCCTGGATATAATAATGCCTTTTGTGTTTCAGAGTGGAGACGCTGGACTGTGGGGAGGCCGTGGCACAGTGGCTCTCAGATTTCCTCCAGCAGAAGTGCCGTTTGATAAGGCTCAGTCCTGATTTCACACGAGACGCCAAGAGAAAGAAGCAACAGGAGCCCGGCCAAGGAGAAGGTACAGTCAAGTGACCGTGATGTTTTATATTTAGATTCTTTATGGCTGCGGTTCACGTTACATCACGACATTCGGTAAGACAGGAATAATAAACAGACTTAAGGCTGGGCGAAAATAAAAAATATGAATCGCATTAATTACAGGATTTTCTGTGATTAATCATGATTAATCACATGTTATACGCAAAACTAGGGACGGGCATTCGATGAAATTTTCTTAATCGATCGTCGGAAGAATTAACGAATCGATTATCGATTAATCATTAATGTTTTTATATTAAAATGATCATCATTATTATTACTATCTGCACTAATCTGCATAAATAAATTCAACTTTACGACATATAAACATAACGACTCTAGATCCACATCAGCTGTTTGACATTATAATGTGTTTAATTCAGTTTTGTTCAAATCTCACAGAAACAAAACTTAAAACCACATCACTAATTTACATAAACTAAGTGAAGATAAAACTCCAGCTCTTGTGTCGCTGATGTGGTTCAACTTGTGTTGGATTAAAAGACATGACTCAGGTGAATACAGGTCAGTGTGACCAGATTTGCGTTTGTCAAAACCAGGACAGCGTACGGGGGGAGGGGGGCGGGGCCTCGTCATCCACATTGAGCGACTCTCACCTGGAAAAACTTTTTCCCACTGGACACAGAAACATATGTGCTGCTTTATCCACTGTGCACATGGACTCACACTTGTCCCAACGCAACGGAAAGTGTGGAATTTCTTGTACAAATCAACGTTAAATCCACATTTGTGCTTCGGTTCGTTACAGACTGACCCACTGTTTGTGTCTCGCTCCTTCTGATGCAGAGACACATGTACACACCTGTTTGGTCACGACACACACAGACACCTACATTCAGTTTGTCGATTAAAATTAACGTAATTGATGAAATTCTTAATGATCAATTATTGATTAATCATAGCCATACCTACCCAAAACCCAATAATGAATTCAAAAGTAGTGTATACCGCACCTTTATTGGAAATGAAGATGTGCATGTTGTTACGACCCCCACAAGGCGGATCTCAACATATTTAAAAAAGGACATAGGAGTCAAGATATGGCTCTTTAATTTCTTTTATTTATCATTGGTTCTTAATTTATTTATTTATTTATTTATTTTACCTTTTTAAAGAAATTTAAAAACCCTCCCGTGCCCAGAAAAAAATAATGAAAAGTAATAAACAGAAAGGTGGACCTGGCGAGCTGGACAAACAGAACAAAAAGGTGCGACACAGCCAACCCCGTACAGGGGCCGAAGAAGCCGGTGCCAGCGCCTGGAACTAAAGACAAGAAAAAACCCAAACCAACCTGAACCCCAAAAGAAACGTGAAAACAGGACAGACGCTCCCACCACGTCAAAACAAAAGGCTAACGGCTAACACAGGCTACATGGAGCCCACGCTGCACCTGCCTGACAGGGGCGAGGCCACTTTCAGGGCGACCCCACGGAGACTGGAGCGCGCAAGGCGAGCGGGGGAGGGGCGGGCCAAGGCGAGCGGGGCCGGGTGGAGCAAGGTGCACGGAGCAGAGGAGCAGAGAGAGAGAGAGAGCGCCACGGACAAACGGCCGTATTTATAGGCTCCGCACAGTCAAACAAAAATAAACCATAAACAAAAATGCTACCAATAAGGACTAATTACAACTTACTACAAAAGAAAACAAAAACAACTAATAATCTGAATCAATGCGCCATGAACATTCACACAGACTGTCTCCCTCTTTTCTGCTTCACTCGAGGAAAAACTCAAACTAAAACACTACCCGCGCCAGTCCATCTTTCCCACAGTCAGGGAATAATTTAGCTCCATAAGATGCTTCTTTATAAAAGAAAAATAGATATTTATACAACTGTCCACATGTGAAAGTGTCGTTCATTTGTTGTGTGAACTAGTCTGTAAAGTCCATGTTTTTATTTCTTCCGCTGGAGAATCTCGCTCAAAAAAAAGAACCACTTTTAATGCAGTTTGTCAATTCCTGGAATTTGACTTCATAAATTCATTTCAAAAGTAAAGTGCATGTGATCAGCATTTAAAGACAAAAAAAGAACAGCAGCAGTAAAATAAAGTATTTAGTGTAAATCTCAACTGAAAAAATTTGACGAAGTGCGATCGACCGTGCGGTGGTGCCCTGGCAAACCCTTGGTGCCCTACGCGCCGTGCGTGACGTGCCTAATGTGCGTCTAGAGTGAAGGCGCTGACATGTCAGTCTGCTGAAGCCTCGCTCCACGTGTTTCACTGAATGATTTGCCGGGATTAACAGAGTGTGTTGCATTTTGGTGGTATTTTAGACTCGTGAAACTCCGGTGATAAGACAGTTCAGCGTGACTTTGGCTCCGTCGACTGCGCCGTCTGGAAGAACTTTAAAACTTTAAAAACTTTAAATGTTTCCTGTGAGCGCCGCAGCAGTAAGCAACAATCTGGGCTTTCTCACGATGGACTTTTTCAAAATAAAACCCAGTGAGCAACATACGTTTACAATTTTAAAAAATATACCGTAAATTCCGAACTATAAGCCGCTACTTTTTTCTCACACTTTGAACCCTGCGGCGAATAAAACGATGCGGTGAATATATGGATGGATTATTTGTTTGGCACAGTGTCCATTCATGTGCGATGTTGTCAGCGTGCTCAAATAGTTTATTGTCGTGTGATAAAATAAGCTCTGATGTTAAATGAACATTAGTGAGTGTGATACGTCTTACCCGTGTGTGCAAATGACGAGAAGAAACGTCTCAAACTTCACTGCTGCACATCCACTCATACCTGATTGACAGAACTAACCCCGCCCCCGAGAGAGTCTGAAATCTCCTGAAATCCTCCAAGACACTGACATGATACAGACAGAACAGAGGCTCTTTCTGTAGGAGACATGCGCAGTAGAGCACGAGGAAAATTCTAGTTTGATTGTGTTTTGAACAGTTATTTTGCGCTTCATACACACACCTTCCTCATGGAAAACACACGAAGAAATGCAGATGATGCAGCTTTTAAGTTAAGGGCGATTGTTGTGACTGTGGAAGAGGGAAATCGAGCGACATCAGTGAGTCGATGGTGAGATTTTTGGTGACAGCAGAACTGATTCAACGCAAAAAGACGACAAAAACTTTCAGAGGCGATAAAAACAGACGGCCCGAACTTGAAAACATTCTTGAACACCTGCGGCTTATATTCAGGTGCGGCCTATATATGTAAAATTTTAGAATTTCGTAAAAATTTTGTTGTTGCAGTTTATATTCAGGTGCGCTCAATAGTCCGGAACGTTAAAGGCGATCGATGTGTCTGTGGAAGAAGGAAACAGCTGCTGCACGTGAACTCGGTGTCAGTGAGTCGAGGGTGAGATTTTGGCGACGGCAGCGTGGCAAACTGACTCAACGCAAAAAGATGACAAAAACTTTCAGAGGCGATAAAAGTGGACGACCTGAACTTAATAACGTTCTTGAATACGTGGACACCTGCGGCTTTTATTCAGGTGCGCCCGATATATGTTCAATATGTGGGTTTCACGTGACGTCACAGGGCTACGTTTGTCAGCGCAAAATCAGATGGAGGGCAGGAAGTGAACTGACTGGAGGAAAATGCCGATGTGTTGTGTAGTTTCCGGCTGTGCCAATCGTTCTAACCGAGAGAAGGAAAAGCGATTTTTTTTTAGAGTACTGAATACAGTCGTCCACAAAGGTCAGAAATGGGAAAAGTCGACAGAACAACACCGTAAAAAGTGGATTACAAACCTGTTTGCGGTCGGGAGGAGCAGAATTCGCTAACGCTCGTGTCTGCAGTGACACTTCGACAAAGGTTTGTTACAAAGATAAATAGTTTTTTGTGGTTTACCTAAACATAAACGAATCATTAACAACTAACGGCGAACGACGTTTGTTGACATTAAATAGTTCGGATAGAGGTTACTGCTGATTCATAACATCTATACACATAAAATAAGAGAAACACTCACCCCGGCGAAGACCAAACGATCATCATCATTTAGGCGTTTTGCACCGAGGTTGAGGACCCATCCACTGACAAAAAAAAGTTCTATGCCTCCAAACTTTTGTACTTTGCCTTCATCTGTTGTCTGGTGTAGAACGACGTCTGAAGAGCTAAATAGTTCGTGATCTCCTCTGCCTCGATTGTCGGCAAATCTTTTACTTCGGTTGAAAATTCTCTCATTTTCAATAAGATCAGGGTCACGCCCAATATATTTGTCGACTAACTGCTCGTACTTTTGCCTCGCTCCTGGCTCTAAATCCTGACAATAAGAACTCTTCTCCATATCTGTGTTCTCCAGAGCCGCGTTTGTCTTTTCGCGCATCATCGTGATCACATGACTGAAACCCTCCTATTTAAAAATTTTGTTAAAATTTTGTTGATGTGGCGTATATTCAGGTGCATTCAATAGTCTGGATTTTACGGTAAGAAAAACTGCATTAAAAATAATTGTCTGCAATAATAAAGCCATTAGTTAACGCTAAATTAAAGCATTAACTTGCCCAGCTTTAAACAAACTGTATGCAGCCTTTGTTTACAGTTTAAAATGATGCCAGAATCTCAACTGCTCCTGCGTTGCCAGAGCCTCAACCTGCAGAGGACACATCCATTCTCATTCTCAGAGTATGGACAGCACACACTGCAGCAGCAGAGGCTCGGCTCTGATTCATGACTGGCTGCAGGTGCCGGGCTTTAGGTCCTGAGAATTCAGATTAGAGAGAGTTCATTTAGGTTTAAACCAACTGGACTTCAGCTTTGAAACTGACAATATTTTGAGAGCTAAAACACAACATTTTAACGTAAACTACTGGGCCATTATGCTGTTTTTGTAATTAAGAATAAATCAGCATTACAATAGTTATCAGCAAAAGATATATTTGATTTAAACATGTTTTTTCTCACATCTGAAGACACAAAAGTGATGTTTATGGAATTCAAAATCTAAATCTTACATACAATTCCTTTTAATGCAGACAGGGCAGCTAAAATCAATACAGTCGTCCCTCACTATATCATGGTTCAACTTTCGCTGTCTTTTTGTTTTGCGGATTTTTTAGTACAATTTTGCATGCTTTTATTTATTTATTTTTTTTTACAGTGTATGAACGTGCGTCGTGTTCCTCCCCCTGCGTCCTGATTGGCTGTAGACCGTTGTCAATCAATCTCCTCCGTGCCGTGTCTCCCGTACAGTACAGAATGTTGACAAATTTACATAAATGTTCGATCTCTAATAGTGAGATTCTGAAAAAGTTTTCTCCTCGACAAAACCAACAATATCGACGAAACGTTCTGCACCGACAAATTCTCCCGCGCTCGCACCGAAAAGGCAGAGGAAGCTGCAAACCATCGCACAAAAAGTTGGACTTCTGGACACGCCGAAGGAAGGGAGAAGTTACGTGGCTGTGGCAGAGTCCTGCACCGGGTCGGGTCCCCGCGGGCAAATAGTTGCTGAAACGGGCGGGTTTTAACATTCTGGAATATTACAGGTGGGTATGTGGGCGGGTAGTGTCGGGTAGACCTGCGGACGTTTCTCCTGTGGTCACCTTCGAGCCCGTCCTGACAGTGAGTCCTGGTTTAGTCCTGTTTTAGTCCTAGTTCAGTGCCGGTTTAGTCCTCCTTGTTCGGCCCTGGAATCAGTCCTGGTTTAGTCCTGGTTTACTCCTGTTTTAGTCCTACTTCAGTCCTGGTTTATTTCTCCTTGTTCGGTCCTGGAATCAGTCCTAGGTTAGTCCTGGTTTACTCCTGTTTTAGTCCTGTTTTAGTCCTAGTTCAGTCCTGGTTTAGTTCTCCTTGTTTGGTCGTGGAATCAGTCCTGGTTTAGTCCTGGTTTAGTTCTGATTTACTCCTGTTTTAGTCCTGTTTTAGTCCTAGTTCAGTCCTCGTGTAGTCCTCCTCTTCAGTCCTGGAATCAGTCCTGGTTTACTCCTGTTTTAGTCCTACTTCAGTCCTGGTTTAGTCCTCCTTGTTCGGTCCTGGAATCAGTCCTGATTTAGTCCTGGTTTAGTCCTGTTTTAGTCCTAGTTCAGTCCTGGTTTAGTTCCCCTTGTTCGGTCCTGGAATCAGTCCTGGTTTAGTCCTGGTTTACTCCTGTTTTAGTCCTGTTTTAGTCCTAGTTCAGTCCTGGTTTAGTTCTCCTTGTTCGGTCCTGGAATCAGTCCTGGGTTAGTCCTGGTTTAGTCTCAGTTCAGTCCGTGGCGTAGGCAGCGCAAAAGTTTGATATAATCTCGGGTTAACGGGCGAGTGCGGGTTTCCAAAAATTGACCCGTGCAGGACTCTCCTTCACGGAATAAATGAATCTTCGGTTCGTTACCATAAAGAAGGAAGAAAATAACAAAAAGACGACAGCGGCAAGAACTTTTAAGAAGAAAAAAAAGAAGAAAAAAGTGTTGTAACTGTCCTGTGAGAGAAAAGTGTATAAAGTTTGTGCTGAGAGGTTTTACAGACTTAAAACCGATATAATAATTGTAAAATATAAAGTTGCTACTTCGCGGATTTCACCTGTCGCGGGTTATTTTTGGAACGTAACCCCCACGACAAATGAGGGACCAGTGTATTGTTAAAATATTGTTATTTTTGATTAGAAATGATCAGGTTCAACATTTGTGAATTTACCCTTTGAATAAATATTTCATGACAAAGAACAATGTCATGAATAGAGACCCCCGTCTGGGATCTGAAACTCTGAAAACCACCACCGCATGACGCACAAATCGTTCATCAGGTCTGGATTTGTTGAACGATTTAAACCCATTTCAAACAAACAGAAAACTGCAGGATACTTTGTCAACAACCCAGCCGAGTAAAGGTGCATAAATATTAGTTGCAGAGTCTGTATCGTAAGCCAGAGGGGAATCCAGAGCCTTTCCCAAACAATAATGAGAAGTGTATGCTCGACCTGGGGTGGCATTTGCTCCTACTTGAAATATTTATCAGAATGCAGTAGTTATTTTATCAACACGGGCACAGACCAACCCCCGAGCCTGGGTAAGAACGTGGGCATTTCAAAAGGAACGGCGTAAAGTAGCAAACATTGACATAGTTGCTCCGGGAAGACGGTTCATGAGGCCTTTCTGTGTGGAGTTTGCATGTTCTCTCTGTTTTTTTGGTTTCAGACTTCTTATCTGGGCCCAAACGCTCAAGGCGGTTCCTTCTGCTTTTCTAAAACGAGCAGGATTTTCTTTGTTTCTGCTCAAATAGGCTGAAGTACGTCTGACAGCGTCGCCGTGTTTGTTGTTGTGGTTCTAAGATGGATTCTCAAGAGTTTATAACCTCACAAAAATCGCGAGAGTTCGTCTTCCTGGCAAAGTTATGGCCTGGTGACATCGACTGTTTGTCTCTATGGACATATATATACCGTATATTTTGGACTATACGTCGCTCCGGAGTATAAGTCACACCAGCCAAAAAACATGTAATGAAGAAGAAAAAAACATATATAAGTGTCACTTTTTGGGGGAAATTTATTTGATAAAATCAGAGACCAGGAACCAGCATTTCATGTTGAAAGTCAAGTTCTAGTACGAGATTTTTCAGACTATAACTTGCACTTTTTTTTCATGGTTTCTAAGTAGGTATCTAACTGTTCTCCATCTAAGACTTTCCTGTGCTCAATTTCTTGTGATCACTAACATTTGTAGTTGTTTGTCTTATTGTAAATGTAGCTCACCAGGAGGAAAAAGGTTTCACAGTATGGCATTAAACTCGCCGCATTTTTCGGACTATAAATCACATTTTTTTCATGGGTTGGTTGTTTTCTGTGACTTATATATTAAAACTTTCAGACCGACAGCCGCGAGAGGCTCTAGTCTTGTGTATCAGTTTTCTGCGCATGTCTCCTGCAGAAAGAGCCTCTGTCCTGCTGCAAGTTGTGAAAACATAATCGAGCAGCAGAAAGAAAATTTGGAGTCAGTGAGAAACTTGTAAGGGACTGGAGAAAAGCGGGGATGGAGACACAGCTTCACAGGAACCAGGAGGATGCGCCATGAAACATTTCGTGAAGTCATTGGATGGATTGACAAGACCTGGACTTCAGTGACAACCGAAGTTGTTCAGAAGTGACACCGAGGATGAAGAATTGAATGGATTTAGTGATTTGGAGTGAGATGGAGAGTTTGGTAAACTTGTTCTGTTCTGTTGTTTATGTTATAGTTTATCTGAAGAACTGTTCATATGTGACTGTTACGTGCTGGTGCCCCTTTGTGCTTCCCATTGCGTGTGTTCTTATAATTGTGTCTGTTTTGGGGCGTGGTTGGTTCGCATATAAATAGGCCGCCTATCCCCTCCGCACACCTGGGCACGCGCTCGTCACTATGCGCGCTCCCTTGTCCTGGCTGCTCGGCGCAGGCTGCACGGTGCCTGTTAGCTGTTAGTCTTTTGTTTGACCTGGTGGGACCGGCTGTTTTGTTTTCGCCTTTTGTTTGGTAATTTTAGTTTGGGGACGTCTTTTTTCCTTTAGTTCAGCGATGTTGGTACCGGCTTCTACGGCCCTGTACGAGGTTGGCCCGGTGCTGCATCATTTTGTTCTGTTTGGTCGACTCACCAGGTCCACCTTTCAGTTGTTACTTTGGTTTCAGGCACGGGAGGGTTTTAGCGTTTTTAAAGTAAATTAAAATTAACTTAAAAATAAAAACATCTTTTACTTTTGTAACCTTTTCGCCTCCTGTGTCCTCATTAATATGTTTAATCCCCCGGGTCGTAACAGTGACGTTAGCATATTAATGCTTATTTGTCTGTTGTTCTCTGTTCTGTTGTTTTTACTAAAACTTGACTTTCAAGATAAAATGTCAGTTCCTGGTCTCTGATTTTATAAAATAAATTTCCCACAAAAAGTGCGACTTGTATATGTTTTTTTTCTTCTTCATTACGCATTTTTTGGCTGGTGTGACTTATAGTCCGAAAAATACGGTAAAAACAATACAAGAGAGAACAACAGACTGTTAACGTCACATATGAACAGTTCTTCAGATAAACTATAACATAAACAACAGAACAGAACAAGTTTAACAAACTCTCCATCTCACTCCAAATCACTAAATCCATTCAATTCTTCATCCTCGGTGTCACTTCTGAACAACTCGGCCTCGACCTCCGGAGGTAAACAGAGCGACGCAAACTCTTCTGTGTCGCTGTCGTCAGAATCAGCATCAGTTCCAGTTAGAATTATTAGGATGGTTTCGGTTGTCTTCATGTTTGTTTAAATGTTAAATTGTTCAGTGGTGCAGAAGTAACGGTGCGATCGACTGACGTGATACAGACAAGGACAGAGGCTCTTTCTGCAGGAGACATGCGCAGTAGAGCCAAGTGACAGTGGTACAGGAGGAACAGGAGCAGCAGATCCTCA